TTGTTAGAAGTGCAACATCTGGGCCCACCCAGGCCTGCTGGAGTCAGAATCTGCAGGGTAGCCACGTACATGTTAAAGTCAGGGAAACACTGATTGCAGAACCAGTGGCAAGTGGGGACATCTACCAAACACCCCTCCATGCCAATCCCTAAACCAAAAAATAAGGAACTGGTATAGTGCTCAGGAGTTAGAGATAAGGGTACCATTCAGACATGGTGTGCGCCTTCAGTTGGACTCTGCTGCTGCCGTCACTCTTTTCTGCTCTTCAAAAGGGATGCACAGGGCCTCCCCTGGTGGTGCAGCGGTTGAGTGCTGGGCTGCAAGGCAGCCCACAGCCTCTGCAGCACTGGTTTGTTCCCTGGCTGCCAGTGAGGATCCCACAAAAAAAAAGGGATGCACAACACCTGATAGGTTAGGTCTCCCCCACAATTGACATGTAAAGTATCTTGAGACCAGTGGTATAGTTCCATAGTTATTCGATGGCTCACAATAAATGTCATGAGTATCTCTTCTAGGGGCCAATTCACTCTCTTTCTGTGCATCACCAAGACTTGGCACATCTTTGCTCTAGGATCACCACTTTGATTTGTTGCTGCTTCCCCATCCCCCAAACAATAATGAACAATTCTCCATGGCCAAGAAATTTGTTCCATAGGGTTTGAATATCCCACATACAGCCTAGTACATGGGAAAAATGGGAGGAAGGAGAAAAGGAAAGAGGAGAGAGGGGTGAAATGGGTGTGAGTTCTAGGGAATTAAAGGTACATATGTATTTTGTAAATTGGAAAATATGAAGCTAATGTATGCAGAAAAGTGAATGTTCAGAAAAAAAAAGAAAAATCTTCAGGAGAAATAAATGAAGCAGTTGGGTTACAGACAGGGGAAAAAATCAACAATTAAGGTTATTTAAATATAAATACGGAATTGACACACAAACACAAGTCTGACTTATGGTCAGCCCTGTTTCCTATGCCAAACTGCTTTAACACCATAAAAGGATGGTATATATCCAGAATGGAGTACTAGTCAGCTATGAAAAAGATGAAATCTTGCCATTTGCAACAACATGGATAGAATTGGAGGAATGATGCTAAGTGGAATAACTCTGGAGGAAAAAGACATACCAGATCATACCAGACATACCAAGTAAAGAGAAACAAAACAAAGGTTCTAACAGAACCAAACCAATAACATATCCTGGAAATCTGACTGTGGAATTGAGGCTTCAAGATGCAGGGGATGGAGGAAGCAAAGTGGGGAAGTGGCACAATGCACTACAGTGAAGGTGCCGTGGTGATGGGTGTAGTGTGTGATGTGCATCTGAGGAGCTGCGATCCTATGCCTTTTAATTGCAGTGCTGTAAAATAACATTACTTCAATTTTTTTTTAAAAGGACGGTTCTGCGAGGACCCTGAGTACCTGCATAGGAAATCCAGCTCCCTCATTGATTAGGGAGCAAACTGGCCCCAGAGAAGCGGATTGACTTGTTCACAGTTGCAGAGTTGGCTCGTGGTGGGAACAGAACAAGAAACCAGGAGCAAGATGTGAGCTACATTCAGTCGCATGACCTGAATTTCCCAACCTACACTTCAGGCCAGGAAGTGCAAGCCACAGTTTCGTGTCTTGGGAGGCTCCTTTGGTGTTTCTTGTTCCACTCTGGAAGGAACAAGGCCTTTAGTGCACCTCAGAGTATTGCCTCATTACTCTTCTCTGTGGTGGTCCTAGACCTATGTCACAAGTATTTGGATGTTTGCAGAAGTTATTGTATTTGTAAAGATATTCAAACTCTAATTGGTAGCCTATGGAACACATTAAGAAATGGGAGGCAGGTTGTTAATTCAAAAAACATTGAGCTAATAGAGTTTTCAGGAAACCAGGGAGTTTGACCCCTTTCTCCCCCAGCCCACCTGGAAACATGTCTATTCTGGGCTGAATGCTGATAGGGACAGAAATTTCAATCTTTTCTTTCATCTGTTAGAAGAGCTGATTACTTTTGCTAGAGCCAACCCCAGGGAAAGATGTGACGTCTCTCCCACTTCTTAGTAATCCTATTCTCCTTCCTGAAAAATTGTCTTCCCTCCTCCACCTTCACACTCCCAAGCCCTGAACTGGGTCTCTGTCACCTCCCAGCACCTGGAGGGTAATAACTGGCCTAGAGTGGCAGAAGAGGAAGCAGATTAGTCTGCTTTTCTGGACTCTGCTTGAGCATGTTCTTTAATCTCTGTTTAAACCTCTTCTTCCTCATATCAGAAATGAGTAGTCTAGGTGACCTCTAAAAACCTTCAAACTTCAAAAATCTAATCCTCTATTTTGCCAGTGGGGTAACATCTAAGACTTATTTCTTCCTAAGGGCATTTTAATTTTCAAACAAAATAAAATGGCCAAAAAAGGATCCCTCTTATATGCAAGAGAACAGACATACATGATGAAATTAGACTTTGAAGGTGATATTTTGGGGAGAGGCATGTAGGCTAGAGATTCCATTTTCTCCTAAAGTCGCTCTGCCCATTTAGATGATGTTTTTCATAGGTGTAAAAAGGAGTCAACAAATGCATATGAACTATTCGTGATGCCCAGGATTTGAAGCAATCTTCATTTATGTTTGACTGTGGATGCATGAGACCGACTGTGGATGCAGAGTGTAGCATTGCATTCTTAGCAGCGGGCATTACATATATAATTTAGTATGCAAGGTATTAGTCTTGAGCATTAGGGCAGATTAGCATTTGATGTATTAGTTCTTTGGAGTAACAATTAAGGTTGAGTTCCTGATTGTTATATTCAGTAAATTGTGATTTGGCTTTTAATTCCACAGTGAGTTCACCAACATTGACAACCCAGTACTAATTAATTAATGACACTGTGTTGTTTGCAGCTGTGTCTGAGATTGGGTGATTCACATCGTCCGTCTATTTATTATAGATTTTTTAGCCTACAATTTTGACAAGGGATAGCCTTTTCTTTTTATAGCGTTTCTCAACCTAGTTTTCTTGAGAAACTCTAAGCTGAATTCATGATTAAGCCTTGAAAAGTCTCTTAAGGAATCTTGTCCATCCTTTCCTTACCTCTCTTCTTCCACCTGCCTTCCAGAAGCAGGTCTGCTTTTATGATCCAAGCTCTTCTACCCTAGACACCCCAGACCTGCCTCAGAACAGAAAAGTAAGGCAACCATCACAAATAATGGATGAGTAGGTCAAATATATACGTCTCTACAACCATAATTAATAAGCAATGTCTTTTAGGCCTTCTATCAATGTGGTACCTGCATTGAACTCAGAAGGATGCCTCAAAATATTTACTAATATTTAGTGATACTTTTAGATGGAGCTGATACATGAACTTCATGGTTTATAACTTTAAGCAGGTAAGGAGTAGAAATCTTTATACCTGGATGCATATATTTCTAAAACCATAGTACATCACACCATCATCTACTCGAAGGAGTCTGAGATAAGAAAACAGGACATCCTTCCTAGTAACTCTATAGTTGTGCTTTTCTGATTCAAAGACTGACAGCTGAGGTTCCCCATCCCTCAGCTGTGGGTCTGGCCAGGTGGGATGAGAGCCTCATGTCCTGACTTAGTTTCCTCTGGAGTAATTACTGTCTTGCTACTCAGAGTCCACACTGCTAACTTCTCACAACATATTCTTGATTGCTTCCCTTCCCACTCTGAATATCACTGTGCATAGTGCACTTTTATTTCAGGAGAAGAAGCTCTGCCCACCCACTCCTACAGCATGTGGACATGCACACTCAGTGTGCTAAAATCTGATGCTAATATCTACCTGACACCTTTCAGTCTCCATCACTGAAAGGTATCAGAGTCTTCCCACCACTCACAATTCCCATCCCACCAAAACCAGCCTCTTTTGCACATCAACACCCTTATTGATGGAGATGTCTGCTGGTTCCATCTCCCACAGACAAGGAGCTTGATACAAACTCCCCAAAGCAAGCGGTAGCTGAACTAGAAATAGACAGCCAGTAACTGTGTTCAGCCCCAGATCATCCATCACTCTGAATTTCTACCCTAGAAGCCTTTGGCGGAGTTGTAAAGAAAGAAATGCCCTAGGCTGTTTCTCTACCAAGGATTTCACGTCCTTGTGGGTTGAAAGATGGCGAGATGATTAAAAAAAAGCTGAAAAATTCTATGTGCAACAGTAAAGGCATAAGGCTCTCAAGCAGATAGACATGACCATATTCTTGTCTCCCAGTTCGTTTTGCACTGAGATGTACCAAGGTAGGGAATGAGGTGCTTAGTAATAATGTGGGAACCTTCCCCTGAATGAAATGGGGGTTGTCATGTCTACACATAGTACTTGGAATATGGGGAATAGACAGGCAGGTGGTTCCCACATGATTGCTAGGAAGCAATTCTCACACCACGGGGGGAGGCACCTGGAGGAGAATGATGCGGTCACCCTGCACAGCGGATGTCAAACCTGCTTCTTAGGCTGGGAAGGTGTCTATCCGATGGAATGGAGAAAGCAGTTCCATGTCTGCATCATTCCCAATTTCCTTAAAGGGTGACCCCAAACCATAAGGTGCAGAGTATGGGAGAGTCTCCTGATGTCCACAGCAGTATAGGCAGAGCCCCCATTAGCTGATGTTTGTCTAGCACAAGGGTGCTGTTCCCCTTGTGAGCAGGAAGTTACGTACAGTAACTGATGGTGGGAAGTCCTGGTGGTAGAACCCATGTTAGTCCTGACACCTGGGAAAAAGGACAGGGGGTAGCCAGCTGACTGAGAGAGTTCTGCCTCACTGCATAGTCTCTCCTCTCTCTCTCTCTCTCTCTCTCTCTCTCTCTCTCTCTCTCTCTCTCTCTCTCACACACACACACACACACCCCAGTCAAACTATATAGTAATATCCACCACCCTCGGTGATCACACACAAAGAGCCGTTTACAAGACTAAAAATCCAGGCCACCTAGGGACCTATCCCTTTTTTTCTCTTTTCTCTCTCATTTTCCCCCTAAAGAAGGTCTTTTTAAAAAATGTATTAAACCAGATAAATTTTTACTCAGATGTTCATGTGGCTGGAGCAGATTGACAAGGAAAACAATCACAAAATAAATATTTTTGTTTTTTTAAAAAAAACAACATTTCCCTATACATTGTCTCTCTAACTTGACAGAGCTGCTTTCTTGGACACAACGGGAGCTGTTGGAAGAGGAGCCACAAGGGAATCAGGGGACTTGGAACAAGCCAGGGTCCCCAAAACTGGGGAAGTCCAGGAAGCAAGGGGGCCTGGGCAGAGGGAGGAGGGGGAGCAAGGCTGCCCGTGCTGAGTGGGCCTCTCTTCTCCACTGGTGTCGCCGTCGCCTGCTTCCTGGGGGAGTGGGCTGAGGAGCACTCAGTGTCCGGGGGGCAGGGGCGGCATACAAAAAGTAAGAACCAGTGTGGGGCATCAGGGAACAAAACCATTTTAAGAAATCTGGTTAAAAAGAATACAAAAGTGACTCCACAGAGAGGGAGGAAGAGCTCCAACCCCTCCCTTCTTGTCCCTCTTGTTTTCTTGAATGACAAGAATCACTTTTAAGGATTTGTTTGTTTCATGGTTTGGCTGGTTCTTTTCCTCAGTCTCTCCCTTGGCTCCTCTCCTTCAACTGCATTCATTTTAGAAAGCACCGACTTTACAGATACGAGGCTACTGAGTTGTGGCCTCCCTGTGGGAGTGTGTGTTTGTGTGTGTGTGTGTGTGTGTGTGCGTGCATGCGTGTGTGCACGCTTGTGGTGAGTGATTGCATCTGTGCAGTGGCTGTTTCTTTCTCTCCTGCTCGCATCAGTCCAAGCCCCGACATCCCATCAGCTGGGCACTGAAAAGTCTCAAGGGAGCACCCGTTGGCACTAAGGTGAGGGCTTAGATCTTTGCACCTGGGATTCCAGGACCTCCCTGCCCAGCCCCAGAGTAGGCCCCCCATTAGCTACAGAGTTTGCCTGTCTCATACTCCACCGGGTTTGGTAGCTTGGAGTTAAATGCCCTCAGGGAGGACTGGATCCTGCCCACCTCGTTGTTAGCCAGTTTGAGGCGATGTCGGAGCAAGCAGGAGAAAAGGTCAAGCCGGACTTTGCCAGGTGGAGAAAGCTGGTTTACCCGGTCCCTAAGCTCAATGAGCTGCAAGAGAGCAGAGTCCTGGGAACCTTGAGTGTAGGGATAGTCCAGCTGGAGGATTAAGTCCCGGATGGCATCCGGGTCAAAGGGCAGGCTGTAGCCAAACACCTGCAAGGTGTTGATTTTCATGTAGCCCAAGTTCTTGGAGGGGTCGGTCATCTCCAGGGGCTCATAGTAGATTGTCTCGTTGGAGCTGTCATCCAGGGACTTGATTCGACTCCGCAGGTAAACATGGACTGTCTCAAAGAAGGTCTTCCACCTGTTTCCCAAGGTGATAGTCCAGTTTTGGCACTGGGCTGCAGCATCCACGTTAGTCCTTTCCCAATCAGGGAAGTCACCCTCATTCACGGGCATGAACCAGCTCTCAGAGTGGCTTCCCCCAAAGGGGTTGACATAGATGGCCATGACAGGCTCCAGGGTGCTGTTCTTGGTGAGGCAGATCTGCAGGGACAAGGCCAGCATCACGTGCACCAGCCCGGGCTTGTATTTGTTGCTCTTGAGGGTGAGCAGCATACGCTTCCTCCAGGAAGGGTCAAACCAGCTGCCCAGACGCATGTCATTGCTGATGAAGATGGAGTGCACCTCGATGCGGCTGTCCCGCTTCTGCAGCAGGTACTTCAGCTCCAGGTCCTGCAGGTCTGTCTCCAGGCCCAGAAAGTTCTCCAGGGACTCTGCCACCTCCGGCCGGCACAAGCCCTGGGCCAGCACGTAGCCTGGGTTGCAGCTCCCACAGCGTGTGCTGTTGTCCGGAGCGCAGTGGGCACAGGCAGGCCCTTCCCCCAAGGCACACGGGATGGGGCCCTGGCAGGAAGACTGGTCATAGGGGCAGGTGCAGCTGTGGCTCTGTTCCAGGAAGGTACCAGGGAAGGTGCTTTCCCCACAGTAGAGGAGGGACTGGACTCGGTTCCACCAGTAGGCCAAGGACCTTTGGGAGGGGAAATAAAAATGAAGCAAGAATCAAAGGAAGATGCACGCTGCCATCTTCCCCGAGGGTAGCAGGGCACTGACTAATAGGCAGGGAAAGTGATGAAGAAGATAAGAGTCCCAAGTTCTCTGCGTGATGGAAACCCCACTGTACCACTTTGGAATGATTGAGTAAAGCCTGGAGCACAGTGTTTGATAGATAGCACCAGAAATATTTGACATCACATTTATACTGGAAGCAGCCAGGCTCATCCCCCCAGTACCACTTCATTCCCTCACTTAAAAGCCTACAGAAGATCTCCAGCATCTTTCATATGTAATCTAGATAAATAGATCTTCTAAATAAGATGCTCTAACAACTGACTCTCCAAATAGCAACGCGACTTCTTTCCCACGTCACAGGCTCTGTGCCGCCAGTGCTCTCTGCTTCTATCAGTTTTCCAAGAGCAGGACTTTTCTGTGATTGACTTTCTCTTAAGATTTAAATGTCAGCTGTTACCTTACCTCCTCAAGGAGGTCTCTCCTGAGTCCCTGTTTCAAGGAACCACTCTGTTGCTCTTTACCAAGTCACCCTGTTTCCATGCAACCCACAGCAATTACCAGCATCTGAAGTGATTGTGTTTATTTATTTGCTTACTTGTTAGTAGATTGCTTCCCTGCAAATGACATGAGAGCAGGGACCATGCATTATTCACGTATTCTCAAAAACTAGGATTATTCCTGGTGCATGGTAAGCACTTAATAATTATTTCTTGAAAAGAAATAAATGAACCCCTTTCAAAAGCCCTCGCTGGCCCATCCTCTCCATTCATGCTTCCCTTCTTACCCATGTGTCGGGGAGAGTCAGACATCTAGGCTGCTGTAGGGGGAGCCCCTCCCTTCCCACCCCCTGCAGTTTCCATGTCAGATGCACAGATAATTTCCATTCCTCTCTCATACGAACTGGCCAAAACTTCCTTCTCCAAAGTCATTTCCCTCTCTAGTCTTTGCTTCTACTAGACCATGCCTTTGATTTATTTATGTTCCATGAACATGAATTTAAGTGGCCTTAAGTGGCTGCCACATAGTTATAATTTTCTCATTTTTATGTTTCTGTATATTTATTCAAGCTTTCCCATTAAATATCCCCCACTGCCTAGTAATAGGCCATGCAATATGGATTTGAGAAAAACTTGTGCAATAAAGGAGTAAGCAAGAGGATCAGTGAGGGGACAACTCTACTCTCTCCCCAAGGGCATGGGACTCAGCTTTATTTCCTCCTGTGACACAGACTAGATCCTGCTTTGAAACAAGCCAGTGTGTGTGTTTCTCATCAGATGCAAATGGGGTATAAGCTTTAACACCCCCCCTTCCTTTCCTAAAAGACTTACTAAAATGGAAATGAGTAAGTGAGAATTAGAGTATTATTAGAATAATATTTGAATCTACTATAACTTCTATAAAAATAGTATTAGTCTCTCTCTCTCTCTTCAGACACAACTCACAATTGAGAAGGATCTTAGTAGGTCAGGATAACAGGAGATTCTCAAAGACCTGGTGTGGGTCACCAGACCCAGATCTCTCTTGTGGGACTGAGTGTCCCCCCTCACCCAGCCGCCTTTGTGGGTTGGGGGGCAGTGCTGGGCTCTGGGTCTGGGTCTGGGGTGCTCACCTCTCCTTGGGCAGGCGGAAGCGAGGCTGCCGATGGCAACGCTTGCAGAGGTTGAAGAGCCGGCGGACGATCCGATGGGTCTTCTTGAATAGCACTTTCAAACTGGCCCCCAGCTGCTGGTAGCGATGCTGGAGGTTGCTGTCCATGGCCCAGAACTGGGAGACAGCCGTGGAGTTCAGGAACCTGTCATCCGGCAGCCTCTTCAGCAGGGTCTGGAACTCCTCTGTGGGCGAGGACACAGGGCTGAGGTGACTGGGAGCTATGTGGAACCTGGAAGGGACAAGGGGTGGCTCCCCAGCTCCAGCGGCCCCTTAGAGTCACTGCACAAGGAGGGAGGCTTCACATTCACTTTCCCAGGTATTTTTATTTCTCACCAGTTGTATTGAGAATCAAAGTGTGGCTTTAGGATTCTTTACCATTCTTCTGATTCATTAATATGCTTCTAAATTTCACAACAGCTCTGTTACTACCCTAGGGGCTGGAGGTCCTGCTATTGTCAATGACTTTGGAATGCATTTCTGTTAGGGGAGGTATGGTGTTCCCCACCCCGACTTACATGCAGCAGCCTGGGTCTAGCTACTGGGAACCAGGGCTACAGCTGAGGGGCCAGGTAACATGGGAGGCAGATGAACCTGAGGCTCTTGCTTTCCTGACTGACTTGTGTGCAGGGAATTGAGTAATCTTGGAAAGAGACACAAGGAGGAGAGACGTAGAGACACTTGACAGAGACACGTGGGTGAGAGACATGTGGGGAGGCTGACAGTGGCAGCCGTTATCTTGATTTATATTTTGATTTTTCTTCTTTTGTCCCAGACATAGCTTACATAGCTTACCTGGCCCCTTGCACCAATTTCTTGTGTTTCTCTACCTAAAGTTGCCTTCGGCTTATAGCAAGGAGTGCCCCTTCAGACTGACCCTGTTTGTATGGACATTTGTCCATGAGATGGGTAATTTGGGGTGTTTTATTGGGAAACTATTAATAGTAATAGCCTCTGTTCCCTCCCTATGCACATAGTTCTATTAAAGAGCTATCAGATTAAGAGTCTGCTTTGCCTTTGTGTGCACAGATGGCCAGATCCCTTTAGAGTGTGCAAGTTTGGGGACCCAGGGAGCCTATCAGTCACATGTTCACATGTCTTTTCCCCTTTATATTTCCTTGTAAGTCATTCACAATTTGTCTCAGGTCAGTCTTCTTCAATTAAACCTCAGCACTCCTGTGGCAGCTGAGAGGTACTCATGAAGAAGAGCATGAATGTACACCACCTGCCAATGTGGGTGCAGAGCTCAGAGTTCCTGGCTCAGAAATTTTAGAAATCTTTCAGCCCCACCAGCCAGCCTCTCCCCTGCACATCCTTCTTTCTGACTCTAGGATACCCTTCCTCCCTTTCAAGCTTCAGTTCTTGGCCAGAAACCCCATTTTTTTTTTATCATTGACCTGCAAGCTGCGTGCTTTCTGATTCTCAGCTCCTACTGAAGTCTGAGTTCCCAGAGCATCCTGGGTGCAACATGTTTTCTGAATCCGTGCCCAGATGTCCATCCAAGGCTCTGCTTTTAATTGGGACTTGCGGCACCTCATCTCCTGGTGAGGATCCAGAAAGCCCTTATTTACTCATTAGCAGTAACTCATGGTAGTGAAATCCCAAAGTCATTCCCCACATACTTAGAAGTTACAGAGCACGCACCATCACCATTAGCCGGAGCAGCTCAAGTTGAGGGACCAGAATGTGATATTCTCCTTATCTACTATATGTCATATCTAGGACTTGAAAAGGCAATGCCTGGGGTCTCAGCTCATTCTATTTTTTCAAGTACCCGCTCCTTTATCTCTCCAGAAGGTTGAGGAATCTTACCTAGTAATGGCATTAATAACTAACATGCACACAGCTCTTTATAAAACATTTAAGCATATAACAGGGCATAGAGAATAACAGGATAATCTTCCATGTGACCATCACGTAGCTTTTGCCATTTTGCCCTATTGGCTTCAGATTATTTCTAAGAAATAAGGTAAAAATAGATATACTTGAAGTCCCCAAATTTTTCTCCTCTGCATCTAGGTATACCCATTCTCTCAGATGTTTTATCATTATCACATATTTCTAAATGTTTTCCACACATATATTTATTACAAATAAAATAGTATGTATGGGCTAGCATATTTTAATACCATATAAACATCAAATATACATTATATTTGATAAATTATAGCACTACATAAAATAATATGTAGATGTTTATAATACATAACCTTTTCATTTGTTTTGTTTTATCTAATATATCCATGTGCTATCATTCATTTAGTATTGAAATGTATAAATATACCATGTAGATTTCTTTATACATGAAATTTTATCTACATTATCCCATATGAACCCTCCATCCTCCTCATATTATCACTTTCCATCTTTTACAAATGAGGGAACAAAGCTGTGTGGCAATCCCAACGGCACAAAGCTGGTAACAATACTTTAGTCAATTCGGGCCACTATAACAAAATACCATAGACTGGGTGTCTTCTAAACAACAGAAGTTTATTTCTAACATTACTGGAGGCCAGAAGTCCAAAATCAGGATGCCAGCAGGGTCCAGTTCTGGGGAAAGCCTCTTCTAGGTTGCAGGTGGCCAATTGCTCCCTATGTCCTCAGGCAGTGGAAGCAATGAGGGAGCTCTGTGGGGTCTCTTTAATAAAGGCACTAATCCCATTCATGCAGGCTCTTCCCTCAGGACCCAATCACCTCTTAAAGACCCTACTTCCTTATACCAACACCTACGCCATTCATTTTCTATACATGAATTTTAGGGACACAACCTTCAAACTATACACAGAGCAAGGCTCCAAAACCAAATCCTCTGAATCTAGGTCCCAAGATAACATTGATATTACTTATATCAGCAATAAGCAATAACTAGCATGTGCTGAGTGCCTCCTGAAACTATTCTACATACTATTCATTCAACCAATATTTCTTTTGCACCTCATAGGTGGCATTGTTCTTGGCTCTTTGGAATCTGAAGCAAATCAGGCAGACCAGTCTATGGGCCCGATTGCATGTACATTACCTTAAAACACATCCTCATTTGCATAGTATGCAAAGGAACAATTTAAGACTTCCTGTGGTGACATAACTGCTTGAGGTCAGAAACAGCAAGTGGCTGAGCTGGGGTCTGAGCTGAGTTCTCCATGTCCTTGCCATGCACCTCATGGCCACCTCCCATTGACAGGGACTTTCAGTTGCTCACCTGACTCCTCAAACTGCCGGTTATGAGTAGCCCAGGAGTCCTGGATCTGCAGCAGGCTGTCCTCCATGGCCTGGATGTCGGCGTCAGGACAGTTGCATTCTGGGAAGGAGGGGCTGCACTTGCACCAACAGTCATTCTCTTTGCAGATAAGCTCGCCCTCAGAGCTGCATGTGATGTAGCTGAGGGCCGCGGTCACAAAGCGTTCCCGCAGGTACTCGGGCAGCAGCACCTGCAGGCCTAGGGAAAGGATGAACCAGGGAATTGCTGGATGGAACCAGCAGGGACTCAGTTTCCCACACCCAAGGCTGCAGGAGCCCCAGCTGGGGTTCTGCTGACTTGTACAACCTGAGCCCAAGAATGGTCACCCCGGGGCCTGATCCTGCTGAGCTAGTTGGGAGAGAGGGTTACCGCTGCCCTGGTGACAGATGGGGGAGGATCTGAAAATGCAGATGAGGAACATCAAAGCCCAAGGCTTAGTGGAACCCTCACATCAGCCAAATTGAGAGCGTGCATATCATCTGAACAGGCTTATTGGCTACACATCAGCATTTCTAGGATAGAAACGGAAAGATGTTTCAGATAAAAGAGCTTACAGCCCTCACATGGGAGGGATCAGGGCTCGGTGGACTTTTTGCTATCCCTGCCATAGCTTTCCTATTCCTAGCTTCATTGAGATTAGCAGCACGCATCCCAGGGTGTTACTGAACGCTGACCCTCCTGGGCCCACTCAGCCCTGATGACCCAGGAGGTTTCCCTGTTTGGAGAGAGAGAGACATGTATTGTGGGTATGTACTGGCTAGGCACTGCACCACGTACTTTCCATATGTGATCACAAGAAACATGTGTGTTCATATTGAGGTTCTTACAGGTGACAAAATCCAAGCCTAGTAACCACAGTGATCTGCCCAAGTCACAGTACTGGTAAAATCGACTTGGTGTCATACCCTACATTTGTCCCATCAAGTCACATCACATAACTGGGACTAGATGCCCCATCTCAATATAATACAACTCTTAAGGAGATTTTTTTTTTTAATTTTTATTTTTTTTTATTTATAGAGGCATGTTTTATTTATTTATTTGTTTGTTTGTTTGTTTTGTTTATACATGCACTGGGTACAGTCAGAAGCGCGGGAGGGTGAGAGAATTCACCAGAGCCAGAGCAGGGAGCAGAGCAGGCAGAAGAACTGAAGTATACTGCTGAGGGGAGCAGCGGGCGGCAGGAGAGGTCTGCGCACCATGTGGGACCCTCCTCCGGTGGCAGGGGAGCAGCCGGGGATCGAACCGGCGCCGCAGAGGCCGCGGGCAGCTTCGCAACCCAGCACTCAACCGCTGCACCACCGGGGAGGCCCTCTTAAGGAGATTTGACAGTAGAATGGTGCTAGACCCTCCCAGATCAGTCAGGCCTGGATAGACCTGAATGGCTTTGAGCTTTTTGTAATTAGCTTCCTCTGATCTTGGATATAATCCACTAAATTGCTCCAAGCTTCAGTTTTCCTACCCATCTGTGGTAGATATTTGTTCACCAGTAGCAGAACGCATTCTTCATTGGCTTCCAGCCACACAGGGTGGCTACTGAAAACATATCAAAAGATGAAAGACAGGCATGACTTTGGATGCAGCCTAGGGCAGGTTCAAGGTCAGAGCTGTAGGAGGCTCCCCCAGAAGGGACACTGTGAGACCCTGTGCCAGGAGAGTGAGGGACTTGAGGACTTCTGCATATGAAAGCTCTCCTTACCTCAAATGTCTGCCTGCTCTTTATTTTCACAACCTTGACCTTGTCCTTAACTAGAAATCAGAGAACCCAATGCATGTATCCCAGTCTCAGCAGACCTCAAAATACAACTTAGAATTGCAGCAGCAGTGGACACTTCTTCTTTGACGCCACCTCCTATTCTGAACTCCTAATTTTCCCTTTCTTGACATTGTGCCCACAGTGCCAGTCCTCGCCACACACCCTGTCCACATGCTTGCTTTCAACACATATCCCGCTCCAAACCCTTTCCTTTCACCTCCCCTGTACCTCCCTCCTCCTCACCATAACATTTCCCATTGCTATAAAATAAGTGCCCTGAGCAACATCTGCATGAGTGATGGGCTATAAAATTAAATGGCATAAACTATTCCAAATGAACCACCAGACATTGTGAACTTCACTCATCACTAATTTCCAGACACAACCCCAGCCCATGCAGGGACACAGAAGAGGGATGCTAATTGCATTAGGTGGCTCTAAATAAAGGATTCTTACTCCTCTTTATTTTATATTCCTTGATACGTAAAGCATTAATGGGTTGCATCTGGCTCAGGTTGCCTGGAATTTGTAATCATAGATCCTGTGTGAGGGCTATTGATTTTATAATACAGAGACAATAATATCTTAAGCAGAGTCTGAATCAGTTAGGCCTTAAGAAAAATGCATTTTTCCCACTGCCAAACGGTCCTGTCTGAACCAGTTTGCTTACCCCTGCCCTCAGGATGCTTAGGGGACAGAGCAGAAGGTGAGTGTCTCCCCTTATCTCTCAGGCTCCAGAGCTAATGTGACTCCCTTTCTACTTGCCTACTCTCCCATTTTGGCTTGTTCTGTCTCCAACTGAGGTTCCCGTTCCTCTCAAACTCTTCCCCTGCTTTGGAATCTTCCATGGAAGGTCACAGACTCATAATCAAAAGCAGAGACTACTCTCAGAGTAACCAGTGGTCCCATGTTTACTTTTAGTTCAGCTAGGAGAGGAGAGCTCCAAATGGCTCTGCAAAATCCATGTGTCCCCTAGTATTTTCTTAAGAGAAAGCAGAGACTTGTTGGAGCAACAAAGGAGATCTTCAAGCTAGATCAAGGCTCCAGGGATGGCTGCGCTTGCTGTTTGTAGGAAAGGGTCTGCAGTTCCTGGAAAGACTGTAAGGTGGGATGATTTGATGGTGTGAGCAATGGATTTTGGGTGGAAGGCAAACCATGTCAGAAGTGTTCTCCAAAGAATGATAGAAAGCTGTGACGTGCATAGCCCAGAACTCTAGATAGTTCTTGTCTTAAGAAGGGGCAGGTATTGGGGCCTCCCCTGATGGCGCAGGCGGTTGAATGCTGTGCTGTGAAGCTGTCCTCAGCCTCTGCAGCGCTGGTTTGATCCCGGCCGGCTGGCAAGGGTCCCATATGTTGCAGCAGACCTCTCCTGTCTCGCCCTCTGCTCCCCTCAGCAGTGTATTTCGTCAGTCTGCCTGTTCTGCTCCCCACTCTGTCTCTGGTGAATCCTCTCATCCTCCCACACACCTGACCTGTACCCCAGTTCTTGTATAAATAAATAAATAAATCTTTGAAAAAAAAGAAGGGGCAGGTAGGACTTTGACTTCCTCCTAGATGACCCAAGTTTTTCACCAGAAGTGAAAAGTGTGAATAGCATCACCAGGCAACTTACCAAGTAACTGCACTTTGTTCTCCGGACTCTGCACCAGGACAGAGCTGACCGAGTCCAGGTTGTCGTAGTTGCTGCAGCCCAGCGGGCCTGTCCTGGTTTCTGTGACCTAGAAAGAGAGGGCAGGGTGTAGTTTAGACAGTAAGCAGGGACTCTCCTCCAGTCACCCAATCTCAGGCTCTGTGTCCTATCCTTGACCAGCCAAAGGAACAACATTTCTCCCCTCCGCTGTGAGCATGAAGCCACAGCTTTTCTTCCTTGTCTCAGGATAGTATCACTGATATGAGGGTGGCCGCAGGCACACGTGAGTGGGAGTCTTTAAGAGGCCACCAAGCGGAATGTGCATCTGGGATGAGAAAATTCAACATGGAGGAGGCTGGACCTTGATTCTGGAGTCTCCCTTCTCTCCCAGACAAGACAGAGGCCAGATTTGGACACTGTCAGCCTGCTGGTGACCCCAGCTGCACCCACTTGCTGTGGTGCCCACAGGCATCAGGGATCCCAGACATAAAAAGCACTTGAGATATATGAATTATGAGTATTATTATTAGTATTAAACATTTAAGTCCCACCTCAGCACTGAGACATCCTTAGAGGAAATCAGCCATGGGCTTCCTGCATATTTTAATGAGTACATTAAATATTCATAAGCTCTTATAGCCATGTAATATTCCAAAACACCATCGAGTCATTTTAAAATATTATAAAGTTGGCCTATCAGTTTTTCCCTGATGTTTAAAGTATAAGATGAAAAATGGGAAGCTTTAAATGCACTGAAATAATTATGTAATAAGAATGATGGGGACCTGAGGCTCTTTCTTCTCAGGATCTCTGAAGGCTTTGCCAACAATCAATCAACCAATCAAGGAATATTTATTGAGCAGCCACTATTCATGTCCTTACAATTCATCAAACATTCATAGAGTGCCTTCCTGGAGTTTCTTCAAGGAAGTCTGCTTCTACCTCAGCCTCCCGTCTTCCTTCCGGACACCACTGTTCTGGAGCAGGCATGCAGATCCCACCCTCTTCTGCTAGGGTTCAATTCATATCTGGTTTCTGTCCACACTAACGGCTCCCTAAGTTCATATTTACTTTGCTTGGTTTGTTCTCAACAGCAATTAACAGTGTGTGGCCTATAGTAGGTACTCAATAAGGAAGAGAATGTATGAGATACGCTGTGCACCGTGTGCTCCCAGAGATGACAACTCTTGTGGGAGGTGGGGACTGAACTTCCCAGCGAGGCAGAAGCAATATGTCAGCGAGCACAAGAGAAGACTGCTCCAAACCAAGGCAAAGCAAGGGAAGAAGTAGCAGAGGAGACACTGACTGAGTAGGAAGTAGACACGAAGAGAAGGGAGGGAAAGGCACTTTGGGGAAAAGAAGGGGCAGTCTGGTGTGCAACATGCAGGTTCAAAAGTGTGTAACTTGGGAGTCTAGCAGTTACCATGGTAATACCAAAGTGTAAGTGGCATTGTTAAGGGCAATTTACTAAACTTAGACTTAGAAAACACACATGGAACACAGTAACCAAGTGAAAGGTGATGTGATGACTGAAAGTACAATAGGGAGAGAGAGGTACAGAACTATAGAGATCCTCGTAGCTTACCATAGTCCCAGAGGACTTCCTGGAGGCAGTGACCATAAATTTGTCTTGAATGATGAGTAGCAGTGGGAGGAAAGGAGCAGGGAGATGGAAGAAAGATAGATAACAACGGACAAAGTCCATGGGGCAACCAGTGACAGACATGGTGCATGAGAAACAGCAAGACCTACCCTGAATGAATCATGTGACCAAGATTGTGCAGAGGCAGGTACAACCTTTTTATACTTCTCCACACCCTTCCTCCACAATAATCCCCCTTAACCTTCCCAGTAACTCTCTGAGATGAGTCTCACAACTATCATCCTCCCAAGGAGGATACCAAAGTTCAGAAAATTACAGTTTCCAAGATCCCAGGGCTGGAATCTAAATAGGGTGTTCACTTTGAGATCTGATTCCAATTCAATGCCCCTGTTGTCTCCTCTGAGGGCATATCAAGGAACTGCAGAAAATAAAGTGATCTGAACCCCTTTAGATGGCATTGCCTATAAAAACAAGTATAAACAGACAATGTATCCAGCATATTTAAGTGATCTGCCTTCTCAGAATGTGAACATCAGATGAAGTATATTGTATGAAGCTTGGCTAGTATTACCCTTACATTACAGAGTAGGGAACCAAAACCAGATAGATTAAATGATTTTCAGGTCACCTGCAGGGCTCAGAATCATTCCATTTATTCATTCTTTGATTTTATTCATTTAAGAATATTCAAGGAACATCCAGAACTCACAGTGGGTCACTGCCTTAAGGAGTTTACAGAAAAGTAGAAACGTGTTTTCAGGATCTGTGTCCAAGCTATTACACAAGGGCCTGCCTCTCGCCACAGGTGGGTACTAGGTGCTAAAAAATGTCTCTCTCCTGAGTGAGAAGGTGATTGGCTAACTGTCAGACTGCAGAGCCATCCGTATTTCAAAGTATTCTTTATATACTGTAAAAACTCCTCATTTGAGTCATGGGCAAGGATGAACCCAGATATTCTGGGTACATATGCCCCTCTTGAAGTAGGGTTGGCTGAAAGGCAGGATGGGAAGGTGGGTATAGTATTTGGGAGGACTGGACATAGTGCATAAGTCCCTGAGTTCTCACAGGCTTTTTCATCCACTCACCTTTGAGTTGGTCACTCACAAGCATTTCACTAATGGCAGGGAGGGAGCTATAAACCTTCAGTCAGGGTAGAATTTCTCCCAAGGAGGAGGGCATGTCAGAGAAAGCCTACTTCTCTCCGTTGTCCTACCGCTTTCTTTATCTACCCAATACCAATCTATCTGCTTCCTACCACCATCACCATCTTGATCAGCATCCTGGGGTGGACTCCTTGCTATTTTCTGACCTTCACTTTGCTCTTTTCAAAGGTCAGTTCCACAATAGGACAGTCAGGTAGGTGAAAGGGTGTGAATAGCTTCACTTTGTTAACTGCACTGCGAGGATGGAAATTAGCAAGACACAAACACCACACTCTCCAAGCCCACTTCCTGTTGGAGCCCGATCTCTGAGCGTGAGGAAGTATGCTCTGGGACCACTAGATTCCAAAGTCACTGCTCTTTCCAAGGCAATTCAGACTGAGCCCCCTGTGTCCTCCTCAGAGAAGCAAGGGGCTGGGAAGTTCCCCTTAAAGGCATTGCCTGAGCATTGGCTTGACAAGCAGGAGGGTCTGAATTCCCTCCCCGCAGTAAGGAAAGTTCCTAGTCTTCAAGAGGATTGGTCCAGAGAACACTGTGACTTTTTCTTTCAGCAGATGATAAAGAAGGCCCAGAGAGGTAACAGAAAGTGCAGTTCACTCAGGCGCACATGTTCAAAGAACCTCTCAGATAAGCTTTCAGAAAGGGAAAATAATTGTGTGCTAATTGGTCTGTTGACAGAGACTGGCCTGCCTTCAGAAAGCCCTGATGGTCTGAGGTTCATTAGCACATCCAATTTTCCATAAATACCAGTTTGAACAAACCTCATTCCAGAGAGCCTGCTCTCCTCCCGCTGCCCTTCACTTCCCCTGCTGCTCTTGTCCTACCTAGGGGGACACCTGCGAAGCTAAGAGCGAGTAAAATGGGCTTCTAATTGAGAGTGATCGGGCTGCCCGAGAGAGCACAGCTGACAGTGTGTGTGTGTGTGGAAATGAGCTGCAAATGGAATCCCAGGCTGCTGCGATGAGGAGTTCGGAGAAATCATTTTACGGATACTTTGTTGAGAACCATTCCCCGTTGCCATCCAGAGGCCCATCTGAACTTTTGTGTGGGTTCTTTTCCGTCAATTCACGAGCATCTCAAACCTTCTCCACCATATCCTTCCTCAGCCTGTGATTAAATGGAGGGTGAACTACAACTATGATGCAGGTCCCCTCCCCCGGTACAGCCCTGGTCCCTACTAGGGAATTATAGACAGGATGTGGGCGTATTCGGCCTCTACAGTTTACAGTGTTTCCATGAGAACTCTGTCATTTGGTGTCACCCCAACCCTGTGATAGAGTGAAGGGTGATTTTCACAGTATTTGTCTCTCAGTGGGTAGGAAAGGTGTGCACTGACTAATCAGGAGAGATGCCAGTCATAGTGCCAAGTTGGGGTTCTGGGTGTCTCCCTGGGTGCATGAGTCTTTGGTTACTCTGAAGGGGTGATCTGGGGGCTCCAGGGATAAAGATGACTGGGGTGGCACATAGTTGGGGTGATGAGTGTGTACCAAATGGCATGGAAGTGTTTTAATGTTTTAATAACTGGTGTAGCCAGATAGCATTATGTAGAACTTAGGTGCAAGTGAGTTGTCTGGTTGGTGACTTCATGTCAGGGAGTTCAACGATTTCTCAAGGTCATAGAAATAATAAGCATCGATCCAAGTCTTCTCACTTGAGTAAGTATCTTTCCTCTCAACCATATTGTCGGCCTTCACCTACCAGATATTTTATGGAGTGTCTCACCCTATGCATACACTGTGAAGAGCCCTGGATCTCATCCTGAGGGTCCCTGCTGCCCTACGACTCCTGTCTTGGTGGGCATAGCAGGGAGAACGCTCATGTGAACTGCTGCAATTTAATGTGACAAGTCCTTTAATGTGATAATCCTTTAATACAGGTTCGTGCTGATCAAAGTGAACACTGCCACAAAGGGGGGTGTTCAGTGGCATCACAGAGAAATGTGTCAGATAAACGAAAGGGGGAGAGCACTTCATTCTCCATGATAGTGAAAAGGAATTGCTAAGAAAGGGCAAAAAGTAAGAATCTGCTCGCTTGAGAATAAGAAACAGCAGACATGCTTGAGATTTTTCACTCACCAGGGCTGAGCAGGTGAGCAGAGTGCCTCACCCTCAGTCAGCTGCATCCAGAGGAGTAACAGTGCTCGAAGCCAGCACAACCACAACTGAGGCATGTTTGGTCCAGGGAAGGATGAGGCAGGTGCTGGAGCAGCAGCATGAGAGAGCTGGTTGGCCAGGACATGATGCAGGGTGCCTGGTGCCTATCAGCCCCCGCTGTAAGTGTGCTAAAACAGGGAGATGGTCTCTGATGACAGAGACAGATTGGGCG